TCAATTGAATCAAGTTTTCGGTGAGGTAAATGGATTTAAAATCGTGGATGGCTGCGGAATATTTGATGTTGTCTGTGTGGAGATTGACGATTTATTCAATGTTTTGTTTAGTGTTAGTGAGGTGTTTTTTTTTTGGTATTACAGGCAAGCGTTATGTATATTAAACTAAGTCTTATCTTGTTTGAAAATATATTATCATAATATATATCATCACATCAAAATAAATAACAGCCTCAGTGTGAGCAACCATAATCAATTTACGAATACTTTTTGTAATATTATAGTTTTAGTATTCTCCGCGCGCGCAATTCTCCTAAAGTACTTTGAACGGTCGGGGGCTAAACCCCACGTCCCCACATAATAAAGCCATGATATGCCCGAATGTTATAATATTGCTCGATTATAGTCGGAAATACTATTAACTTTGAGAAAAATGTCGAATACCGTATTCCTTTGAAGGGTTCCAAGCAGTTGAGCACTGAGCAGATGTGAGTATGATATACTAATCTTACTTATGTTATTGCATGGTGAGTAGATTTACAGGTACATAAAAAACCCTTTAGTTATTGATGCCATCAAAAGTTATAATTATTTTTATCACTTTTAGCATATCATAATTTTGCCGATTCACGTAGTGATTATTATATTAAATTGATAAATTGTGTAAAAGAGAAGATAAATAGATACTGAAAAAGCCGAGTGAAAACAAAACACCAGTCACTGTGTAGATGTTGGCTATTGAGTTTCTGTTAACCTTTAAGTATTACTAGGTTCGTCTCACTCTTGTCAACGCCTTGCAGCTTAAATCGGTTAATTGTTATATTAGTTTACGTAAGGTTTTGTGTTGCATAACATCTACCCAGTCATCAAATCTACTACCAGATCACCCAGTAATCAAATCTACTATCTTCACAGTCATTTAAAAAGTCATGTTCAGAACAGAAGAACCTCTCGAGTTCAGACAATTCATAATAACCATCTTTCGTGTAAACGATGGGCAAATATTTTAAAATATGGTTTTATCTTGTTTCAGAAAATAAGGTTTTTGTTCTAATCCAAGAGTAACTCTTTAATATAATATTTAACACGAGGTCTTTGATAATTTGAAAGTGGTGTTATCACGCCAGTGGTAATAATTAGATCAATCAATAGTCTACTATTTCGCAACAAGGGACTGTGTTGTGTAACTTTATGGAAACATGTTTTTATCGCAGATAGCGCAGATGTTGATTTCTTAATACTTTGGATATTTTGTTAAACTTGCTTACTGTTTTTTTTTTGCTGTAGTGGCTTAATACCTACGTTATTTTTAGAGTAGTGCAACGTACAGTTTTTTATTACTTTTCTTTTACCAGGAGACCTCAAGTGATTCTCACTCATATGGAGTTTTCCTTGTTAAAACACAGAACACGTTTGAATGGTATTTTTTTTTATTAATTTATAATTAGTTTTTTTTCGTCTTAATGGTAACAGCTTTGACAATAAAATCGAGTACATCTACTCGTTAATGTTTAAATTAGCACAAATGGATCACTCTATAAAGAATATAAAAGGCAGTAATCGCAAACAGCGCATGTATCATTGCCACAAGGGCGGCGGCCATGTGTCGTCTCGGCCTAAATAGACCGGCTCACGGCTCGTTCGAGCTACGTGAACGTGAATCATCGCCGCTTCACTGCTCATCAACGTGAACGAGCCAACACATGCGACATAATGTTTTGGTTTTTTTTTTAAGTTCCGGTACTGATATGTAGCGAGCATATATTCGTGAATTGATCTAGCAACTTGAGATACGATAACTAATTTACAAAAGGAACGAACCTAGCTTACCTTATAATGTTTATAAAACTGATATAGATGTGTGACAATGTATTTATCTTATCTCGAATCATATAAATCTTTATAACTGAAATAGAAACAATTTATTGACTTAATTACAACAAACACAATAATCAACTGTTTGCTATTGTTCGCATTACTCAAAGAATAGCAAAACTAGAAAGAAGCTATATTGCATCACGGCGGGTATGTGTAAACCGGGTTTATCTAATAAAAAGGTCCGAAAAGTTGGTGAACTTGCCAGCAAAATCACCTAATAACTTGAAAAAAAATCCAGACGACTAATTCCATATAAGAGTATCGCGTTACCAGAACGGTATCGAGTCAGTCGAATCTTTTTTTTTATACATGACATTAATATAAATATCATTTTGAAACATACTGTCCAATTTCTTTTTATTACTACACTACTCCCGCGGGTCTGAAGAGATCACACAAGTTATAACTTGGATGTACAGAAATCACGACTCAGAGTTAAAATTAAAACAAAAAAGTATTTACAGATACGTTTCGACAATAATATTTCTGTTTGTGAATGTTTTCAAACTATTTACTAATTTCTATTAAGGTCGTATTAATGTGCAATTATGCCAAAAGAAGAGACAGTTTATAGAGTAATATATTCAAGGCTATGCAAAACTAGGTTATAGAACGGGGTCAGTAAATTCGGCGAGTCTAGGGAATGCGATACGGTTTACTACTTGTCAAGTTTTTATTCGAAGATCGTGTTACAATGTTAATTGGAATTGGAATTGGATTGCAATTGGAAATTGGAACAGAATCTTACCTACAAGATTTTTATGAAAATCGATTTTAATAAAACCAGTTTTTAAGGATATTTTACGAAATAATAGAATAGAATAAACTTTGTTTTTTTTGTACATTCAATTAATGACCATGCACAAATGGCAGCCTTATCGGTACAAAGCAATTTCTTACAGGCAACTTTTGGAAGGACAAAGACAAGACGAAATAATTTACATTTAGTTTTTATTGTTATCCGCTATCTAGTTAACCCTACAGATGACCAAAATAGCAGAGAAAATCTTTAAAACTAAGTGCAGAAATGTGCCTCTCAGTTCTAAAATACCTACCTAAAAATAATCACTACTAAGATATTTTTGGACCCAGTCTACACTTACTACACACACAAACTATATTTGCGTCCTATTTTAAAGTTTCTCCGTTTAGATCCACTTTTTTTGCAAATGTTCATGCTGTTTCAATTTTGTTACTTGAATTTTGTAGCCCAAGCAATTCTATTGAATAGGTTTGTTATGTAATTTCAGTGCATATTTCTATTATTATCGGGCTACAAGACAATTTTTTCCTAATAACAGTAGTTTTTTATTAATTCAGGATATACACATGTACATGTTCTGCAGCGAGAAAATAAATTAGAGAATAACCTTAAACGCTGCACAGCGATTAATTTATTCGCTCAATGATTGTTGTAAATATTTACACCGGACACATACCGTGTTCATTGATAAATCCCCGAAACTGTGTTTATGCTGCGGTAGCGCTCAGATAATATTTACCAGATAAAATTCTTTTAAATGTTCGTTTCATTATGATGATCAATGAGTTACATATGACAGTGGAGCTAAATTTCTTTGTTTCAGTATAATCAATTGGCATCCATCGAGAACTATCCGTGCAATAAACTAATATTAATTACTTTTTCTGTATGTTTTGAATGTATGCGAATGTGACAACTTTTGTTATCAGTAAGTAATAACTGATAATATATCATTCACCGTTTCTACTCAGTTGAGGTAACACGCGTACCTGCTATCGTAGGGTGCATAAACCTCGGGTCGCTTTGTATAAAAATGTTCTCGTATGCGCGTTGCGGTGAAAATGCAACTGACGGTACTACGTGTTGCTTGTGTAAGCGCCAGTTTGACTTCGCATGTGCTGGCATAACTGAGATCGGCTTCCGAAAGTTAGGAGATCGCAAAAACATTTGGCGATGCTCTGACTGTAAATCTGTCTCATCCCCGGTGGCACCGTCTCATGAGCAGGTTTCTCAGCAATTAAGTGAAATACGATCAACACTGAACAGCATAATGCGACAGTTAGCGCCTCTGTCAACTTTAGTGGAAGACGTAAAAACCATCAAACAAGATATCTGTGATCTGAAAGTCTCCGTTGAACATGCACAAAAAACTGAGGATGAATCTTTGGCAAAGTTTGATCCCTTCGAATCCAGAATCACGCCTGTTGAGGAAAATGTCAACGTATTTCATATAGTGAAGGCGGACTTGGACAAGTTCAAGGAAGACTGGCAGGACAAGGAGAAATGGGCTCGTGCCAACAATGTGGAGATTAAAGGTGTTCCGCTCACAGAGTCTGAGAACTTCTATTACATAGTAGGAGTAATCAGTAATACTATCAAGTGCTCTGTGCGCAAAGAGGAGATAAACTATATAGCACGCGTTCCTAGCCTTAGATCAGACTCTTCTAAGACCATAATAATGGCATTGAACAACCGTTACGTTAAGGAGGAGTTCGTGGCAGCTGCTTGTAAGCATAAGAGTATTGTCATCTCTGACCTGGAATTTAAGAGTGACGGGAAAGTGTTTGTTAACGACCACCTTACTCTCTACAAAAAGGCGCTTTTGAAAAGAATGAAGGATATAGCCACTGTAAGCAATTTCAGATACGTGTTCGTAAAACACTGCAAAATCCTGGTAAGGAAGTCGGACACATTGCCTATATTTAGAATTAGGACCGAAAAGGATATTATTAAGTTCTTTTGAAAAGAAATTTAATTTAGTTTACTTTAATATATAATTAAAGAAAAGAAGAAGTTATTGAGTAGCGAGTTTGAGCTCTTCAGATCCAGACCATCACATATCAAAAAATACATGCTTCGAAATGTTTTTTAAACCCAATATTATGAGCGTGACATTTTCTTAGTCTAAGTTTTTCTTTTGTTTTTTTTGTCTCCAAAAATGAGATTCCTAATAAGTTTTTTTTAAATGTACTTTTTTTGGTGTTTGTTGGTTAGTTATTTAAACTGTTGTTTCACACTTGGAATCTATTTGCGAATACCTGTGAATAGCTTCGTTGTTACTTTATTATAATGTTTAACCTTACGTTATTAGTGCTGTTGGTATTCCGAACAAAATAAAATAAAATACATGTTTATACAGGTGACAGGCAGGCAGGACAGCGTGAGCCGACAGATCCAGACTAAATTGGGCGACTACCACCTAGCACAGTCGTTCATTGACGATCCCAGCAAGTCCATTGGTATCTGCGCGGAACCACCTAGCCCTGCGCCATGTGAGTACAAGCTTGTCACAGTTTTAGTTAGTAAGGTATTATAAAGTACGGCAGTGTAAGGTTCTGATTGCATAATTTTTTAACATACACAAAAATCCACTACCAAATAGTTTGCCAAAATTAATCAACTTTTAAATTCAAATCGGCCAAGGTACGGTACGGTATTACTACTTGTTTTTACAAAATATCGCTCATTGTAAAATTTGCTCTTAAGTTCAATATAATTTGAATTTTATTTTCCACATAAATACTAAAAATTGATTTTAAATGAATAGCATACTTAATTTCTCAAAAAAAGAAACAACGCAAGAACCCATTGGCCTCTTTTAAAAAGTCCCTTAAATCTAATATTATTTGCTTAAACTTATGTACCTCTGTATTACATCGTAACTTAGACATTACGAGTGCCGTTCAACATCGAAGCATTTTATTTAAACGCCCTGAACATACATAAATGCACTTCGACATTACTGACCTAATTATAGGAAGAAAAGAGTTCCGTTTGATCATCTGTTGTTGCCATACCATGGAAAAGCCTTCGAGCTCCGCAAACCATCCGCGTAGAAATTCCATTTAATTTTGTATGGATTTCCTCCCCGGGTCGGGTTATATCTACGATAGTTTAGCTCGTCGACTACAAATTGTACGGATAAGATCTCGGTTTATGTTTCTTGTTTATGGAGTTTTTTATAGAACTGAATAATAATTAAATTTACGACGCAAAGAATACTTCAATTAAAAATTAATGGCATAAAGCGTACTATGAGAAGACCACTTGACATTTACCTTGTAATGTATTTTATTAGGAGAGTACTTTGGATAGGCAGCCATAACCAGCTGTGCGCTAATAGCTTCATGCTGTGATAATCCATCCACTTGCTAGCCATCGTGATTATTGCAATATATCTATCTCTCTGGATAGTAGCGGTCGAAGGTTCATACTTACTTTTATGGGTTGATTTAAACGACCTCTAACTTCTTTGTCTTCAACTAAAGAGTTAAAATGTTATTGCTCCACAGTTACAATCATATTTTATGTTTGAGAGAAAGCGTGAACGCGTAGTACATCCGGATATCAAACTTATATCACTGTATAATTCAGTATGTGGAGCATCGCACGCTATGTTCCACATTAAGGCTGACTGCTGCAAAGTATTTACTTTGAGTATTGTTATAAATAGTGTTTCGGATAGGCAAAGGGAGTAATGAACATGAGACCGTGGACCAGCGGTTCTGTTTTTTAAAATGAAGTAGAGAAGGAAATACATTATCTGGTCCAATATTTTTAAAATGTGGAATAAGAGGTTATTCTTATCAAATTTTAAAATACTTGAGGGTATGTTATCAGGAATTCTACGAAAAGAAACCTGAAGAAATTTTAGTCAAAATCAACCCGGTTGATTCTTTAAAACATAGAAGAAAAAAAAAGCAACGTCATATATGTTGTTTTCATAGATTCATGTAAATAACACTACTCTACAAAAAAACAGTTTTGGTTCGCAACAGAATCGAAAATATTGTATCTTGGGTAAAACGCGAGTGCTGAAGCCAAATCTAATAACAGAATTTTGCCATCACGTCAGGATTTTAAGTTATTGTTATTTGTTTATTTCTCAAATATTTACGTACGTCTTGTTAGTTATTGGAAAAAATAAATTGATATTACGACTAAATTTACAAAAAACTATTTCTAAAGAGACAATAAATACTAAATTAAAAACAATTAGCTTGATTTTTTCTTAGCTTAAGGTAATTTTCTTTTAAAATCTTGGTCATTCTCTCTCATGAGGAACCAACAGTAGTCTCCCAACATCCCTGGGTCCCATCACCTTGGTAACGTTGTTCCATATTAAGGATGTCCTGATGGAACCTATCACGATGTTCATCACTAACATCTCCTAAATTTTGTGGAAAAATATCAAGTGAATGTAAGAAATGAATTTTCAACAACATTCTACATCCCATTTTTTGGTAGTTTTCTAATAACTCGGTTACAATACTTCTACTCTACTTCTTCTTCATAGTTTTCTGATTTCTGATTACCCAAAAATTGCATAGCTACGTTTTTGAACGATTTCCAAGCTTTTAATTCGAAGGCACTGAGTTTTTTTTTTGAAACTGTCTTTCATAAGTTATCATATTTGTGGGCCCACGAAAATGCCTTTTTTTAATTTGGCATCGCTTATAAATGACGACGTGATACGTATTGTGTGAAGCGTAATAAATGACTTCACATATTTAATTTCCTATGTACCCTCAAAAACAAAATAATAAAATACTGCATTGTATATAAATTGACCATAAACAGTGTATTTTTGTTTTCATTTTATTTTTATTTAAATTGATGGCGATATTTGAAATTATAATAGTAATCAGTAATGCCTAACTAATCAAAAAGTATATAATCTTATCAACCGATAAAACAATAATTGTATAAGTAATTTCTATTTTTAGCAGATTTTGGTGGCTTTGACTTTGTTATGAAAACATGTGCCAACAAACAATTTTATACGTAATGAAATTCAATAACCACTCGTTAAAATTTTATATAAAGCTTTTTCCTTTTAAAAACCATTAAAAGTTGCGACTTTTCCTTTTGATTTCCCAAAAATTTTTCTTTTATAAACTAGGTTTGGGGTCGTATACTCCAGTGATGCTTCGGTATACATGTAAAAGTTGATTTAAATAAGTATATAAACATACGTATATTATGTAGGTTTATATTATATATATAGTAGTAGCTTCGTAATAAAAGTAAAAAAGACGAGGCCTTTTTGTAACTAAACAAAAGTTTACACATTTTATCTTACTTTATATGTTTACTTATATTAGATATTTTGTAAAATAATTGATTTACATTAAATGCTCTCTTAGCTTACTTCATATAAACCGCAAAGGCAGATCACTTACGGTGACGGTTAGAACGAAAAAACCGAATGTAATTAATTTTTGTAAATGTCCCTACCCTCTTAATATCAAAAAACGAACCCGACAACAGTCTGCGATTTGTATATACCATCTGACTTTAATGTAACGAACGTTATTGTAATGTAATGCATACACATAAAATAACATTTGTAAAGGTGTAGTGTAAAACTAAAAGAACGAAAGCGGAGTTTTTATTTCTCTCAAGATTAATAGTACATAGGAGGGATAATTTCCAGGAGATCATTACCATAACAAAGGACGATAAAGTTATTTGATACGCGGTCGCGGCTCTCACCGCCCCCCGCGCTACTTTGCGGCATCTACAAATTTTCAGGTGAACAGAAGCTATATTGGATATTTTTTTCACCAGTCCAGTACGAAGTTAATTTAGGTCAATTTGTATACGAGTGCCTCAGTACTATAAAATGCAAAGAATTAATCTTTCAGACTATTTTTAACTTAGCGATATTTGATTATATATTTGTATCTTCTTGATTTATAGGTATTTCGTTTGACAATTACCTTATAAAAAAGTCATGTTGTTCTCGTAGCAACAACGCCATGTACTTAAACAAAGAAAAAAGATTTTACCATGTTACGTTTTAGAAACTTTACCCAATTCAATCATTTACTAACATGTAGTATAAAGTTAAGATATTAGGACATGCTAATCTCAATAATCTTAATATTAAAAAATCTTTTCGCATTTCATAACGCATATATTAAGAAAGGCGTATAGACACTCAAGCTACGCTTCAAGCTACGATGTATATGAACAGAATGTTAACTACACGAATTTAGCTTTTGAAAGTACGATGCCAAGGTAATATTTTTATATATAACATAGACGTGTTCAAACGTGACTGTAAAATTGTGACGACGATATTAATGTTTTCGGATTTTTTGACTTCAGAAATACTTTATTTCAATCTTATTTCCGAGAAAAGTTCTTTATTGTTTGAGAATAGTTGGTTAAAAGGTTTGATAAATTGACTGACTGACTGAAATATGTAACAAAATCAAATAGCTCTTCTTACTTTCTAATTAATTTTTAAAATAATGAAAAAGAACTAATAACTTTTTTGGATCAACTTTTGACGAATAAAATAGCACCTCTCTCTTCACCACGCCCCTCATTAAAATAACACCAAAAGAGACGAATGGTGAATAAAACTGACCGCCTTAAGATATAGATTCAACTAATGTATTGACAGCTACACACAGCAAATTAATACAGCAAGAGGTATGTGGGTAGCGTGCTCTGGGTTGACACACTTTGTCACGGTGACGTCATAGTTATTATGACGATGACGTGCGAAACTGCACGTCATTCTGATTTTGACGTGACGGAAGATTGCGGCAGCACTTGCGAACACTACGTGTTTTCGTTGTATTACGTACCATGTCGACTGGCGAGTGATAATATATTGACATTATTTTGGTGCTCTGAGTCACAGCATAGCGTTAAACTGTAAGGCCACATCTTTGAACGTGTATTATTTCGACCTTTTTAAACCGAATTCGCAACAAGAATGCGACGCGCCATACGCAAAACAGTTTCCATTGCCTTGTATCCTGTCTATCTTATCATTCTATAATCAGATGACTTTTTATAAAGTCTACATGAACACATTTTCAAGCAATCATCATATCGATCACGTGGTCAAATGAATCATTATTATCTCTTACATACCCCCACTATATTGAACATAAATTCTATTCCATTTTAAATTTAGGTCTCTGCAACTGAAAAACATAATAATATCTGTCGGTCGGAAGTGTATCATTTATTCATTACTATTAGTAAAATACCAAAAAAACAATTGTAATGTCATATAAATCTCACACATAAATGTGTGGGTGTGTATTCTATAGCGATATCAAATTTTATTTGCAAGACACGGCATCACTATATTTTATTAGTTTCGAGTACAAAACATTGAAACGGCCGATCTCCCCAAAGTCCGGTTATTCAACTATCCGACCAATTATAGCAACGGTGACGGCCTCAGGCATCTCGACTAACGATATTGCACACTCCACGAACAATTTTATTCAAAGTCCAGGATTTA